AATATATATATATATATATATATATATATATATATATATTTTTTTTTTATTTTTATTTTATTTATTTTTTTTTTTCAAGGAAGAGAGCAAAAAAACTACTGCTAACATCTAGTGGTCTGTAGTAAGACAGCAACCAACTAAAAAAAAATAAACAAGAAAAAAAAATGATGTGAAAGTTTCTGAAATATTTTTAGCGTCTTCACTTTTTCTGTCCAAATCTCCGTTGTATTTTCATATTTTTATATTTTTGACAGGGTCAGCTTGCAAGTCATTTTCTGTTCCTTGATTTTCCTTTTCGTCCCTTGTCATTTGAGGAGTGGGCTTGTTCTCTCAGGGGATGTAAAATGCTCCTTCTTTTCTGGAGAAGGATCCAAACGATCCTTCAAAGGAAAAGGAAACAGAACCTTTTAATTAGCAGGTGGATTATTTTCTCCATGAATTAGACACGTTCCATGTTGTTGTTTACGTCCAGAAATTTCTTGCCTGTGCACAATGCAAAACGACGATTATTTTACTTGCCATCCATAGTTGTGCTGCGGTAGAACGGTTTTGTTAACAAAATGAAACCTGGAGATGTATTATTGTTAATCCAGTGCAATGCGCCATAGCAAAGGGAAAAATAACTCAGAAAAAACGTTGAAGAACAACTCAAAACCACTCATATTCTTTTTTCTCTCGCTCTCTGTGTCACCTATACTACACATTGACCCATTACCATAGCAACTGACTGACAATGGCACCACTAGCAGACAGAGCAGAGATTAGTTCCAGTGTATCAGGATTCAACACTGAAAAACAGGCAAACATTTCCCACACAAGGAACAGAACACTCAGTCCGTAACAGTGTCATATTTTCAAGTGATAAGTGATCGTCTGTACGCTGCTGTGGTTCTTTAGCTGATTTGAACTCCTCCTAAAAATGGAGATGGGTCGGTGTGTGGGTCGCCTTATTTTTTTTTAACTAATCTGAAACGCATTGAATTCTGCAGCACATATTTACGTTAAGGTTGTCAAAGTCAAGCTAGCTTAACTGGTCTACTTTCCTCTCCCTTGGTATTTTTTTTAGTTAAAACTTTTTACTAACCTGTAAAGTGTAATACCATTGGACCTTTTTGTATATTTGTCATAATTTTGATATTTAACAGCAAATCACTGTGTCTATTTTTCTTTTCTATACTACACATACATTTAAGATTTAGCCCGTTATATTGACAACAGCTAAGCCCAGTGGTAGTTGTCATTGGTTAGCAGTTTTTTAAGAGGGTGGGATCTTGTGTATGTGACATCATGTTGCAACCTGTCCATGCTGCTGCTTTCATTTATGATGCTGAATTTCTGGCAATGGTAATTAGTCAAACTCTTTGTATGAGAAGCTTGATGTCTCAAACCAACAGTCCATTGTCCTAATAATGTTGTTTTCTTCTAGGTTGGTGTGGAGGACTTGAGACGGCAGCAGGCGGAGGACAGGGAAAGGATCAGAGCCTTGGAGAAGCTCATAAACTCCATGGACCAAAACATCAGGCGTGACTTGGAAATCTACCGCAGAGAAAACAAGCAGTCCCAGACCTGCTGCAACACCATCACAGAGCTGGAGAAGAGGCTGTCGAGCATAGACGTTCGACTCACGTCCACTTCGGACAAGTGTGACATCATCAAAGGGCGACTGGATAAGGAGCTGGCTGGGACGGGTGGAGCAAAGGGACGAGTCACTGAGGATCGGTTTAACAGCAGGCTGAGAGAGATGGAAAAGAGGTTCAACACCACGATGAGGAAGACGGAGCAGAAGTGCACCAACACCGGGAGCAACTTGAAAGAAACCCTGCAAAGAGATTTCACCCTGCTGCGTAACAGCGTCTTTATTCACCTGGATGACCACAGCTCTAAAATCGGAAGACTAGACTTGGAAGTTGCAGATCTCGGAGATACAGTGAGGGACCACAGCCGACGTTTGAGCCATCTGGAGAACGTTACGGTCTTCCTTGACAGAAAGCTAGCCTCAACCACAGAGATGTGCAGTGAGACCTGTGGGCACAACGGAAAAAACCCAGCGACAGATGAGACTGTGAAAACCTTGGAGTGGAGAGTTGTGACCAATCAGGAACACATCAAGAGGTTTAACAACACCCTGAACAACTTGTCTGTGACTGGAGACTCCCTGATTGACAGAGTGATTGACCTCACCAATGACATCAACAAGATAAAAGCAGTAACCGGACAGAACGGTGAACACTTCACCCGCATTGTCTCAGAGATCGACACACTGGGCAGAGATCTTGATGACTGTTTCGTTTGTCGCAACGTGGAGCAGGACTTGCGCTTGCTCACCAACTCCACAATGATCGGCCTTAACAAATGCCAGACAGAACTGACGGATCTGCGGAGAAAAGTTGACTCGGGGGAGTCCACCTGTTCTCAGGTTTGCTCCAACCTTCAGGAAGAGGTGGGGCGACTTAGGGAGGATGTGGAGGAATGTACGGGACAGTGCAAGACCAACATAAACGACTTGAAGAAACGGTTGGACGGTCATACCTTCCATAGCGGGAAATTAGGTGGGGATCTGAGGTCAGTCCAAGGAGAGCTGAACAATGTCATGATTACTTTTAACTCCATTAATAACACACTGAAGGATCTGGGACGGACTGTGAAGACACATAGTACCACGCTGACAGATCTAACCAGCACAAATTCAAACACCATTTCTGTGGTAAGCTAATGAGATAGCACTGCTATTAAACTTAACACAGTATATTACAACATTTTAATGTTTATTAGCTATTAATAAAATGAAGGCCCATGTAGTTGCCCTTACTGCTGGTCATGTAGTGTAAAATATTACATGTTTAACTATTTGATTTGCTTTGCATCATAGCAATGTCTGTACCTCTGCAGGAGGTTTAGCATCTTGGGTATGGAGATGGAGAGTCCTACTTTAAAGTCCTATTTAAAATGTTACATTTAGTTCTAGCAATATACCAATATGTCAAGTTATCATTAGGTAGATGAAATTTATTCCTTGTTGGATAAGGACTTTACAGTGAACATAGACCCAAACCGTGGATCTCAATAAATCTGTTTTAACTTCCAAGTCTGTAAAATGCTCCATACCACATGTTGTTCATGTGGTCACCATCATACTTCTGACCTGCCACTGCTTTCCCAAAATAGTATTGCTTTTCTACAATACAATTCTACAAAAAAAAATTCTAGAAAAGAAAGCTTTACTTTTTTTTCTAGATTCTTGACATGTTCCATCTCTCATGTGAAAGACTTCTTTGGGTTTAATCTTTTTTAAAAAAAAAAAAGAAAAACATGCAGCTTAAACAAGAAACGTCACCATTTGATGCCCTGTACCAGATTGTAGCTCTTAGCTAGTTTATTTCAATGTTCTCTTGAAAGGTCAATATGAGAGGATAAGCCATAAGAACAGCAAACAATTCAGATAATAATAGTTAACAAAAGATACAAAGCCACCATAATACAGCAACAAAATCACATATGACGAATGTGTCATCATATCAACTACTGTACTCAACAACTGTAAGAACTACAACACCAAGCATTCAATTTTAAAACATTATTGACAACAACTCTGATTGGTCTTTGTCTTTTATACAGTGTATGTAAATATCTAGGTTCACTTATAGATGCATTTCATACTTTGTCATTGTAAGCTATTATATCTGTTAATTTGGAAGAATATGGCTTGATGTTAATAAAGCACAAAATTCAGTTTCTCATAAAGTCAAATTTACACCACTAATAAAACCAATAAAAGAAGTTTGTTAAAACAATGTTGGCCCACTGAAAGTATACCCATGCACTGTACAGTGTATGAATCCTTTTGTTATAAAAACATGAGTCCCTTATATACCTGCCGTTTGAACTGAATTCCAAAACTATGTTATTTAGAACTTCCTTATCTAAGTATTTCTTCAATGTCTCATGACCCCATTGACCAAAGTTACTTTGTCATGCTGATTTGAAATATTTTCCACTGAATAAAACAGAACATCCATCATATGAAGGATCTATATACTTATCTTCTTTATTTATCTGTATGATATTAAAAATGTGTTTTCTGTGCACACTGTAAAAACATTGGACCATTCAAAAATCTTTTCTGGCTATCTTGGAAGTTTGGAAGCACTATAGAAGAATAGCACAACCCTGCTGAGGACGAAGTGTGTGCGATACCATAGGAGAATAAATCGTGGTAAAGGCCTACAACATGAAGTGACACTTTAAAACTCAAACGAACACGATTGTGTTTTCTCTTCAAGGTGGGGAACTTGAAGAATGAGTTGACGGACCACGTCGACGATGCTAACGTCCGGTTCGGCAACCTGGGCAGAGAAATCCAGATAATCAGGAACAACTACGCCACGGAGGTGGGAGAGTGCCGGCGGTCCAGCGACGGCCTGGACCGAAGGCTCTCCAAGCTGGAGGGGGTCTGCAGCCGCCTGGACTCCTTCACAGACAGCCTGGAGAAAATCAAACAGGGCCTGAACAAACACGTGTCTGGCCTGTGGGGCTGTGTGAACGGCCTCAACGTCACCGTGACGTCCCAAGGAGAGCTCATTGACAACATCCAGACTGTCCAGCTGGACCGTGTCCACTCCAGGATACATACGCTCAACTCCTCTGTGCTGGACTTGGGAAGGCAGTTCACCATTTTCAGGGATCAGGACTTTAGGGGTGAGTTTCAGGGGAAAGGGAGCATGGGATTTCACTTTTGGCCAGGACGGATGCACATTAAGTAATGAAAGGCATTAAAATAGACCAAAGAAAGAATCCAGGCTGTCATGTTTGAAAGAATTCACTTAAGAGCCTAGAAAAGTTTGTTGTCTGTCTGAAGGACATCTTCTTGTAATCACATAGTATGAAAGACACAGCTGGAGTCTCACCAGGTTAAATGTCTTGGCTTTCCTGACTTAATGTTCCTGCCGTTTGAAGCTCCTCAGAACCACTAGCAATGCTTAACAGGAGTTTGTGTGCAGTATTTCTATCTCTAAATTGTCCTTTCCCTCAGGTCCCCCGGGACCTCGAGGAGAGAGAGGCGAATCTGGACCACCGGGTCCTATTGGACCCCAAGGAAGGGTGGGACCTCCAGGCAGAGAAGGCAGACAAGGACTAGTGGGACCCCCAGGTACAAAAACACAAGAAGTGATCTGTAAAACATACACATTGTACTGCAAGACTTTTTGTAACTCTTAAACTTTGTCACATTTAATGCCAGATTTCAGTGTATTATCATTTGTAGTTCAGAAATGGGAAGTGAACGAGCAATAACAGATGGTTTAAATTGATATTCTGAAGAGTGTGTAACACATTTCCTATCAGCTCCCTTAAATCTACATGCAACTTTTACAAAAATATGTTTTGTACATATTTGTTCAAACTGTCACTATGCCGTGACAGTTTGTTAGGAGACAGATCATTTGTGAGAAGATCGATATCCTCCACCTCCTCCCTGAGCAACTATTGCTGTCTGAAGAAGTGAACCACTCTTGACCAAAAACAACCAATCAGAGCCAGGAGGAGAATCTTAGTGCTGCCAGTCATGCATGTTAATGCGCTGCTAAATGTCATCAGAGTCCATGCTAACTAGTCTTGACATTCATGACAGACTAAGTTGTAATGAACCAGCTGTAGTGTAGCAGAGAAAAAAGGGGGAGGGTGTGAGTAACACATACATGAAAATGATTGGCAGCGCTAAGACCCTTCTTCTGGCTCTGATTGGTTGTTTCTGATGAAGCAGTGTATTTCTGTAGATGACAACAGAACCAGCAGGAGAACGCAGAGGATTATCTCTGATTATCTGTCTCATAGCAGTGTCATGACATAGTGATAATTTTAACAAATATGTAAAAGATTTTTTTTACAAAAGTTACATACTGCTGAATTAATTTTGATACAAATAAATAAAACCCATAGTCATCCTGATTAAGAAAAAAAGTCAATTTGTGTGTATTTTAATCTCTGTATTAATCTAACTGATAATAATATCATGAAGATTGGATGGAGAAATTTAAGGTTATAAAAATAATAATAAATCAGACAAGATGGTAGAAACATACCCTGAAAGACTTGCAGATGGACTTGCAAACAAAGCGACATCAGATATTGAACATTTTTAATTTTATACGCTACTTACTGCTGATCAAACCCCTAAAAGTCCCAATAAAATACAGTGAAGTTTGTGGATAGAATGTGGCCAAATGTGGACGATGTAAGCGGTGTGAATATTTTTACAAGGCTCTGTTTGCTGAAACACCAGTGAATGGCTTATTTGGATATTTACCTTACTCTTTATATCTTTCATCTTGCTTTCCAGGGCTCAGAGGAGAACAGGGTATGTACTGTACTTACTGAACAACAGATGAAAGCCCTCATTCCACTTAGATCTATAATTCTCACTAAGCTCTCCTCTGTTTCTACTTTGTCATCTGGTCTTCAAGGGTCCGATGCTCACGTGCCGCGCCTTTCTTTCTCTGCTGCGCTGACTCGCCAGATGAGGAAGACAGGAACCATAGAGTTCAATGAAGTATTTGTCAACGAAAATAAAGCCTATAATCCTGAAACAGGTGTGTGCTAGTGCTTCAAGCACTTCTATCAGTTCCTGTCAACTCGGTAGATAGATAGATAGATAGATAGATAGATAGATAGATAGATAGATAGATAGCAAATTAAATAGCTAGCAAGACAGATAGCTTTTGACCCTGAATAAATTACTTGTTTAAAAAGTAATTTAATCTGTTTATCTATGTTTGATATTAGAACTTGTTTAACTATCTGAAACATGTAAGTGTGATAAAAAAAAAGCAGAAATTTTTGCTGGTCAAATATATATTTTTTTACAGCACAGTACACCCACAAAGAGAGACAAATTAATTTCTTTGTCACTCATACATTCTTCCATATTCACCATGAACACTGAACTAATACTGTCCCGTTCTACAGGTATATTTACGGCGCCCCTGAGTGGCAGATACTTTTTCAGCGCCATTTTGACGGGTCACAAAAACATGAAGATCGAGGCAGTGCTTTCTAAGTCGAACGTTGGCGTTGCCCGAGCGGATTCAGCAGGATATCAGCCCGAAGGCCTAGAGAAGCCCATGGCGGAGGCCAAACACATCCCCGGAGCCCTGGCTGTGTTCAACATCATTCTACCCTTAGAGGTCGGGGACACGGTCTGCATCGACCTCGTAACGGGCAAGCTGGCCGTCTCCTCTGAACCCTTAACCATCTTCAGCGGAATGCTGCTGTACTAGACCGTCAGACAGGACGGAGTATGACTTCAGAGTTTATCGTGTTGCATTGAAACCTCTGCTTTGGACTCTTAACTCAAAGAGCCATCGACAGTGGGTGAAACTGATACCAGTGGACTGGATTCATCCACCAAAGAGAAAAAATGCTTCACAGCTTTAAGGAAAAGTTTTTATTTTGTTGATTGAGATGTATTTTTATGTGGAAAAGAAGCCACTGCAGGGTGATTTCCTATGTTCCTATAAACTTGGATGCTTTACTGATTGCACCAGGACATCCATCAAGTTTCACTTGTGTTAAAAAAAAGGATATTTAGTCAAATGGAGAAAGATTAAAGATGTGGGTGTTTTTCTATTTATCTGCGCTGTCCACCCACGTCACATCAAATCTTCAGCATTCATTACGCACTCGTTTAGCTGTTGTATCCTTTTTTTTTCTTTTTTCTTTTAGTACGATCATTTATTTTTGTGTTACTCACAGTTTCATTTTGACCACAAGCGAGTTCCCAGAAACGCAATGCCGAGTGCCAATTGTCTCGAGGAAAAATGCGGGAGGGACAAAGTCCAAACCACTATTCTTTAGGAGGAAATGCACAAATGAAGTCACTGACAGTTCAGCATAGAGAGACCACAGGATTTTATAAATCATGCGGCCATAAAACAATAAGACCATTTTAGGACTTTGGCCATGCCCCGAAACACAAAGGAAGGAGAGGATTTGTCAAAAGGAACAGAGGGGATTTTTCTTCTCACTCTGTATCCTAATAAGGGATATCTAAAGTTAGAAGACGAGGACTGAGATCTTACAGTAACAGAAGTTTGCCATCAGCATAAAACCTCTGCTGATTATACAACATATAACTAGTGATTTTTTTTAAATACAAGATTTGTGGTAAAAGGTTGGATTTATTGTTAACATTTTCTTAAATATACACATATACCTCCACTAATTATTGAGTAAATGTCTCTTAGCATTTTTCAGATACAACACCCACATGTAAGCCATCAGCTGATTGGATATTAAGTCACAGTTCCTTTAAATATGTTCATTTCCTGACAGTCAACCTTTCAGCTTAGCTTCCAAAGAACTTCAAAAACACAAAATCATACCAAGTTTGTCTTGTCTGTTTTTAAGTGCAAATATCTGAGAGTGAATTTGAAACAAGACAAAACTAAGTTATAAGTAACTTTCAGAGCTTGTTTTAAGTCAATAATTTCTTAATACTGATAAAAGACATACTAGTTCCATTGGTAGATTATTCCACTTATGAGAAAAATTTTATTTTAAGTGAAATAATCTATTTGAACAAGTACTTTTTATAATCTGTAATAAGTATTTACTTGAAACAAACTCCTATATCTTGCTAAAAGTTTATTTGTAAGTTGATTTTATCTTACTTCAAGCATTCTAAGATATTTGGACTTGAAAATAGACACACACAAAAAAAATACTTGTAACATTTTGCAGTTTTGCAGTGTTTTTTTTTCTTTGGTCAGGACCAGGAGAGGCCTTTCAAGAAGATTGATGCAGGACGTCTAGAACTACTTTTGATCTGTGTTTGGAATCGTTGTCCTGTTTGAACAGCCAGAAGATCCTCCTCTCAGATGAAGGGGAAATATGTTTTCGGACTTTCAGGAACGACTCAGGAACAACTAAGGCCCAAGTCTATTATAAACAGGAAGCTGCTGGGACATCCATGTCATCTCCTATGGTGAACTTACCTTAACATTAACACAGACTGAGAGGGAGCCAACCAAGGAAGTAGCATTAACTCCAAAATTGGCCAAAAAAAAACCTGGATAGGGTAAATAATTAATTTAGGAAAGCTTTCGGGTCAGACATGAGTAGGTCTGTCACAATAACAAATTTTGCTGGATGATAAATTGTCCCAGAAATTATTGCGATAAACGATAATATTGTTGTTTTGAGACCATTTTCAAGTAATGTAATGGTAGTGGCATAATAATGCAAGTAGGTATTCTCAAATCAATAGACTTTCATCTAACACAGGAACTGAAACACATTTAAAGTATCCAAAATACATAAATAAAACAACAAAAGAACAAGTGAATTGAATTATGAAGTCTGAAAACAAAACTGCCCTTCAAACAAGTTGCCAGTTGAGACTTGTCATCCAGTCTTTGGTAGAAAGAGAGAGAGAAACAGTCATGCAAATGAAAATGATTAAGCTTGTTTTAATTTATCATGTGATTAAATGATTTATTGCTCATTGCGACATTCTTAGAGAAGTTTGTCCACAATCCCAAGAAGAATGTTCCAGATAAGGCTTTCAATCTCAAAAACACTTCTGTACACAATTCAGTATTCCAACAGAACAATCAACACCCAAACGCACCTCAAAACTGTTCCCCTTTCAAATGGGTCAAACAGGCGAACATCAAGCTTCTGGGAAGGTGCTGGCCTTTGGGGGGAAAAAAGAATCTGTGGATTTCACTGAAAAGTTGGCCCGATGCCAGGAAACCACCAGTTTGTTTTGTTCTGATAAGAAAAACTATCAAATATCCTTGAGAATCGTGTCAGGAGCTTGTCGATTGCTTGGATAAAGTGGTTTTACTTCTCTACACTGCAAAAACACAAAACCTTACCAAGAATGTTTTGTCTAGTTTCTGGTGCTGATACCTTAGATCACTAAAAACAAGACAAAACGGACTTATAAGTAACTTTTCAGCCAAACATACAAGCTTGTTTTAGATAAATAATAGTGATAGAAAGTACTAGTACTGTTACCAGACTTTTTTCACTTATGGGAAAATCACATTTTTACTTTTAACTTGGGTTGAGATGCTTATTTTTTGCAGTGAACAATCTGCTAAGGGATATCTAATCATAAGATTAATAACTAATCATATAATCATTAATGATTAATATATTTGCACATTTTAACCCTTTATGAATTAGACAAAATACAATTTATTCAACGTTGCAGACTTTGTTTTTTCCCCATTAAAACTCGTAAATGTTGTGTGGCAAAGAGTCATCCCGGCCTAGAAAAGAACTGCTTAAATGCATCATTAAAAGTAATATGACCATCATGTCCCCAATTAGTGGCTTAAAACTTCAATAAATAGTATGAGTAAAGCTCGCAACATTAATTAATCAAGCAAAATGAATCTTTATTGTGTTTGTGTGAACACTTTGTCTTTGTTGAACGGCTTTGCAGCCCTTTAAAAGTTTAATTGCAGATTAAATGAGGTCGGTGGATGTTGAGCACAACAGCAGTTTATTTTAGTTTACTTTTTCAGACTGAGCATTCTTATAACAATCTTAGAGATTTCTTCCTCAGATTTTTTTCCCTCCTCAGTGTGGAAATATACAGTTACATTGATACTTCTTTTATGCATTGGGTAACTCGTGAATATTTTCCTACATTTGAAGCATAGTAAGATTGTTTTTATAAGCTACCACTTCAACTTGCCAGTTACTGTGTATGTGTTGTATGTTTTCCCACGCGTGTGCCTCAAATACAGATCCCCAGATGAACACAGACGTCAGCGGCTATGTTCCTTTATTAAACGGACCGATCTGTTCCACCTTTTACACGCTGCTGCTCCCGCTTTAGAAGTGTTTAATCTGGCACTATTTGGGTCTTCACAAATACACACAGCTGGGATTATTTTACTCCCTTGCTCCTGCTTAAACCTCTCTCTCTCTCTCTCTCTCTCTCTCTCTCTCTCTCTCTCTTTCTCTTGTGTTTGACCTCAGTGGGTTACTTTTAGCTCAGGATTTGAAGGGGAGACCCGAAAAAAAGTGATTTGTTTCTGCTCTCTGGTGACACCTGGCGGTCAGAATCGCCAATCTTCTTCTTCCGCTCTAACTTTGAGGATTTGAAGAATGCAAGAATTTCCCAGAAGGAAAAGAGATCGCTTGTCTGTCGTTCATGCATTAGTCATCTCGGGGAGCCACAGTTATCTTGATTACCATCTCCGGATTCAGTAGCCTTTCATTCCTCTGCCACTCACGCACACAAAAGTCATCCTCAGGACTGAGTAAGTTGATCTGTGTGCACCACCGGTCAAGAGCAATCTGGTAATTGAACCTGGACTACTTAGGTACGTAAGAATGCATAACAAGATGGGAAATGCATACGGGCCGTTTCGAGTCGGGTGATTCCGATTTGCAATTAATCTGTGGCGTGTGAGTTAAAGAAAAACAGCCATTTTGAAATACCACAGAGATAATTAAATTAATGTTACATAAAGAAAATAAATGGAGCCGCAGTCATTTGGAGCTCATTTCCTCTAAATGTCACCAAGAGGATATTTTGTGAACTCTGGCAAGGGATGAATGGCGAAGGCGTATAATTAACCCCATAAAAATCAATACAGATCCCTGACGAATGTAAGCAGAGCTAAGGTTATAAAATGGTAGATATGATGGATGACCAATGAGCATTTTTAAATAAAGTGCCATACAAAGACTCATACTCCTTAAAATTTGTAATATTTTGCTAAAGCTACAAACATTAACATTAATTAGGTTATCAACGTTATGAGGCAGTCTCTTCGAGGATAGCCCTGAATGTAGCTTTATTCGTTTTCCCAACAACTCTGGGGATAATAAACAGCATCAGGTTCCATTCGAAGTTCAGGTTTCTGACAGGAAGTAGACTTTTGGTGGGTATTATTACCAATTAAAGACTTGCCATGCTGATTTCCTCACATCCAAACTTATAGAGTGCTGCCATAAAATCAACAGGTGATACAGTAAGAGGGTGCAGACATTTTCTTGTGACGTGTTTCAGCTCGTCTTTCTTGACTTATGTCACACATTAAAGTTAGAAAAATGTATAAAACGTATATTTTTGGTTTAATTTTTCTTAACATGGTTGCACAAATTTGCGTAAATCCTCTATACATGCAGGTAAAAGGGAGCGGAAAAAACGTTTCAACTAATTAAAGTGCTGTAATTGTACTCACTCTTTTTTGAGAGCGCTCCACTGTCACGTGACTAGTAAAGCTTCCCAGCAGCTCAGACGCCGACCCGTCCGTCCCTCGCGGAATCTATGCCGTGTCAAGTTGCCATGGAGACCATTTTTGTTTTCTTCCCCCACAAAGCACAACCTTCCCCCTCACACCAAGTGAAAGGTTGTGCTTTAAAGTTTGTATAGAAGCGTTTATGAATGAAGACTGGGAACCAGTGTGGCTTGTCGATGAGCAGACAGAGGTTTTCTAAGGCGGGTTAACAGCAGAGACCAGCTAACCTGTCTGTTCGCCCTGTTTACAGGTGGGTCACTGAGCCTGGTTGCACCTCCATGTTTTAAATATCTGCTCTTTTATCGTACGCAGATAGGAGCTGTTACGTACACAGGTTGAGCCCAAACTTTGTGCGTGATTAAGTTCAACATACAAACAGATGCTATGGATTTATTGTTAGAATAAGTTTTGGAGGAATCTGTTTGAATCTTATTATTTGGGGTCAATAGGAGCAGCTATCATGACCTACTCCAGGCAAGGAGGAGGGCCATGTTATGATTTTATTACAGGGCAACACAGAGACGCAACCAGACTGATGACTTAAAATAACATGAATATTTCTAACATATCCACTTTCCATAAGCTAGTGGTGAAACTAGATGTTTCTCCAAGGACTGACACGAGGGGGGTGGGAAAGCTTTATCAACGTTTTATTTCAAGTATAACATGGAAAAAAATATGTTATAAGCAAAATTATCTGCCAATGGAACAAGTACTTTCTCATCAATATTATATGTTTCAAATTAAATGAGCATGATTTTATATCGCTTGAGTGTATAAAATGCAGATAGATATACTGTTAGGATTTTGTTTTGCTAGTATCATTTAACTGTCACTTTAGACGTCTGAATTACAGCCTCCATGTAAGAAACATGCGCCACATACAGCTGAGAGAAAATAACCTAAGATACTGCTCTATTGGTTTGTATTATTATCACAGTTTCTAAGTAAACAAGTGAAAAATGACTCTTTTTCAACTGGCAATACAATGATGTACAAAACCCCACTGCAATATTATTTAAGAGTGCAAGTGTATTTCAGCATAAGAATGAAATAATACCAATCTTCATCTTGTAAAAACATTTATTTGATGGTGAGCCCACATACTGCCTGATGGGCCACATGTTTTGCTTTTTTATGCATCTGCTCCATTCAGACTGAGCCAGGTTCTGGTTCTGCTGGAGTTTTCTTCCTGTTAAAGGGGAGGTTTTCCTCCCCACTGTCTCCACATGCATGCTCGGTATGAGGGAAAGCAAGCGATTGTCATTATGCCCAGGAGGAGTGAACACTGCAGGTTGTAATCTGCTTTTTGACCAATTTGAGTAATAAACTGAACTTCACAGCAATTTTCTTGATAACTTGGACTGTACATATTACTGGACTGAAATTATTTTTTTTGGAAAAGTGCCTCAAGAAAAATGAAAAATGGATATAAATAAACTAAGTTGAATTGAATGTCTTGCCGAATCTGTTGACATTTCTCTTTCCTTTATAGAATATTGTAACTGATTCATTGTCGGGTACTAACTCAGTAACTTCTCCCCAGTTCAGCTTGGCTGAGTGAAAGTTTACAATCTGAAAATATCTTCCAAAGTTTCTAAAAGATTTAATTTATTCTGTCAAATCTGTAGTAAACTTTTACTTTATATATATATATATATATATATATATATATATATAATTTATTTATTTTTACACATGTGTTGTAACTGTCACTATGTCAGTATAATATAAGACAAGTAATTTGTGAAAAAATTAAGCTCCTCTGCCTTTTCCCAGTGCTAACCAGAAACAACAAATCAGAGGCAGGCCTTAGCACTGTCAATCATGCCCACTTGTGACTTAATGGGCATGTTCTCTGCTATGTTGTGAATGATTGACGGTGCTAAGCCCCTCCTCCTGGCTCTGATTGGTTGTTTTTGGTCGAGCAGTGGATTTCTTTAGACGGCAACAGCAGGACTGGGAAGAGATGGAGGAGCTTGATCTTTTCACACATTATATGTCTCATATTATATACTGATGTTATGATATGATGACAGTTTTAACAAATATGTGAAAACTTTTGTTTTTTAAATAAAAGTTACACAATGCAGCTTTAATAGTCGTTATCAGGTAACATAGAGGTAAATTCGTTGTGTGCTGACATGAAATTCTGCATTTTATTTTAAATTTTATTAGAAAAAAGAATCTTTTTAAGTATATCATAAAAAGAAATTAAAAATCTACCTTGCTGTTTAAATAAATACTGACAGATGTGTGTTCTCTTGCATTAACAATCAGTTCCAGGAACTGATTGTAACTCCAAAACTCCAAAACTTCATAACACGGTAATGCTGCCGTGGGAAGCTTTATCAACTCATTTATGTTGAATTTCCAAGCGTTTTCATTTTTCCTCCGTCACCTCCAACTTTTTCTCTCAAACCTTTCTCCATCAGGCTCTGAGGGACGCCAGAATGAGCTGCGCGGTGGCAACGGGCCGTCTGCAGGTCCTCCAGATCTACCGCCTGCTGCAGTGGATCCACAAAGGAGAGAAGGATGAGATCCAGAAGATGGTGAAGCTTGGGGTGAAGAACCTCATCAACCTCACCGAGCCACAGGAAGGCCTGGGGGTGCTCCACCTGGCGGTTTCAGCCAACAATAGCGGTGATGAGCTTCATCTTTGCTCTGTCTGATTGTAAATTAGACGTTTCGATCAAACAAGTGCTCGAGTTGCGTTCTGCAGGTGTAACATTTGTCAACTGAAGTGACGTTTTATGGCAACAAACATCCAGGCGCAATCATGCCGCTCCATTTATATTTCTATGTAACAGGAAAGTTGTATTTATTATATAAAGGTAATTTGAGTCGATGCGTAAAACCTCAGAAACTTCACTCTAAATGATTTGTTTGGTCAGTGGTAGGGAGGAATGAGCAATGACGCGTGCTAGCTCTCAGGCAAACAGAAAATGGCAGCAGACTAGCAAAACGGTGGATTTTTTTATTTATTTATTTTGACATGCTAATCATTGGTGTGTGCAACCAGAGTTTCTGTTTCACACAGTTCTGCGGCGAAGCGTGTCAGGTTCGACGTCCGTCTGAGCGTGTCTGTTGCTCTGTCTCCTCACAGACCTTGTTGAGTTTCTCCTCTCCCTTGGAGCACAACCCGATGTCCAAGACAAGATGGGCCGCACGCCCGCCATGCTAGCTGCCGAGCTGGGGAACGAGGACATTTTATCGCTGCTGTTCCAGAAACAGCCCGACATGAAACTAGTGGACATAAAGGGCAAAGGTGGGCAGAGAGAGAGTGAAAATAGAGTGAAATGCTCAGACGTGATTGCAGAGTTAGGAGCTCCCAGCTCTCAACTCGCACTTTGTCAAAGTGTCACGATAACAAATTTTGCTGGGCGATAAATCGCCTCGGCAATTACTGCGATAGACAGTGTTATTGTTACTTTGAGTCCATTTTCAAGGAATATATTGATAATAGTGAAATAATCCAAGTCTGCCTTCTCAAAGACTAAAAAACTTTAATTTTGTAAAGAACACTTAACACTGGAACTGGAATAACCAGGATAAAACACGACAGCCAAATACAATAAATAAAAATGGAAATAAAAACCACATACAATCAAAACTCAGAAATAAAATGGATTACGATGTCTCAAAAATAAAATATGAATCATCACAATGGAAAGTATAAAGCTCAGTTCAGTTTAACATGTGATTAAATGCATAATCCGCCAGGCTTATTGTCGTTACAGAGGCTATATATTGTTAATACACTGAAAGATAACTTTAGCTTTTTTCCCCAGGCTATTTCAATCATTTTTCCATTAAACAGTTGAGTGCAGAAGTTTACCTTTATTGTATCCTTTGTCAATTAGCATTTCACACAGAACCCAGACGCTCCTGTAGGAGCCCATCAACAAACTCCAGGATTAATTATAGATGGAAAAATTGACCATACTTCCATAACATATGTTGAAATTATTTTTTCATCACTAAATTAAGGCTGAATGTTAGAACTAAAAAAAACAAATGGTAGAATTCATTTCAGTTAGTTTGTTTTTAAGGTACAGAGCTACTTTTAAATACGGTGGAGAGGCTTTTGATAAGCTGCGGCTCATGGCAGCCGTAGACAGTTCTATAGGCTGTAGGTGTTTTATCTATTCCAAAACCAGTTTTCCATGTGCAAATGTCTGAAACTGAAGTAAGATGAAAAAAAACCCCTCTTCCATTAATATTATGATTTGGGAAATTGAAATAACTTGGGCTTGTTTATCAGATTAAAAGTACCTTTAAAGCAGGTACTAAACTGAATTTACATTAAGCCAACATGTCTGTGGTTGTTGTAGTATCCTAACCTTACACGTTGCATTTTTATAACCTGTAAACTGAAAATCATCATAATTAACAAGAAGAAAGATGTGAAAACATCACTGTGTGAAATTAATCTATGTAATGTGTTTCACTTAATGAGCTGAGTTACTGAAATACATTCACTTTTCAATGCTATTCTAAGAACACAGTACTTAAATATGTGGTTTTAGATTTATGCAACCAGTTTGAACCTGCATGGACCATAGAGGATACATAATCATTTTTAAATTTTGTAGCCAATCAGGATGCTTTTTTGCTCTTAGTAGGTTTTGTCAGGTAAACGTTGTCTTACATCTCAAGAACACGTGTGTGGCTTTTGCTTACATATCGATGAGAAAGACACAACGGAGAATCCTTCCAGATAATCTAACGCTGTTCTTGCTTTAATGCATCCAGATCAGAAAACGCCGTGAAACACGGAGGGACCAAGAGTTGGCATCAGTGTTTGGACTTTTGGGTCCAAACATTGAATTCAAGGTCGTAAAATGTTCTGTTTAGTCATATAGCGTGTTTGTCCGGGTACGTCCGTGTGTGGCTCTGTGTGTGAGTCAGGCCCCTGTGTGTGTGTGAGTCTAATTACAGATCAAGCCCTCACGGTGACGCTCTGATGTGGAACCTGCTCTGTAACCCGATAACGCCGCTCGCTCCCCAGAGGCGTGTTCAGCCGAGGCGCACCGCTCTCATCCCCGGCTTCTCTTCAAGCGTTTCATTCCCCACACGTTTTCGATTATTGCATACAAATTTTAAAAAAAAGAATCTAAATTACTTTTAATTAGCAACTGGTTATTTTTCTCCATTGGATCTGAATGTAAAAATGAAGGAACATATTTAGCGCAGGCAGCACTTGAACTACACAAAGACTCAGCAGTTATGAACCGCCCAGCCCGACTCACCACCTCAGATCTAATAATTTTTGCCAAAGCCCAAATGTAAATGACACCTCTCTCATTTTTAGCCTTCTTTTTATTATTCTTTATCTCATTTGTGATTCAGGCGTGCTGTTCTACTGCAGCTACCCCACCAAGCGCCACGCCCGCTGCCTAGAACTGGCGCTGAAGAACGGGGCCGATCCCAACAACATCTCTTGTAGCGGGGTTCACGTTCTTAGCATGATGTGTGAGAAAGCTAATGAGTGCACCCCCTTGTGCCTCGCCCTGCTGGATGCTGGTGCAGACCCCAACGCGGCAAATGAGGTAAAAGAAAAGAATAAGAAAACATGACAGAAACAATTTAAATGACAGAGAAAATTATGGAGAAGAAACCATCTAAAGTGTGATTTCTTCTGCCCAGACAACGGGTGTGACGGCGCTGATGGAGGCTGCCAAGACGGGCTCCCTGCCAGTTGTTCGGCAAATCCTCAGGAGAGGTGGAAACCCGAACACCCTGGACCAAAACGGCTACAACGCAGTACACTACGCCGCCCTGAGTGGCTGTTTTGAGGTGTGGTAACTAGAACTTTTTCTGTCATATGCCTTTAAGCTTTTTCACATTTTGTTGGGTTGCAACCCGAAACGCACCGATCCGATGTTAATCGGTCCAGATATTGAAAAAACTCCCTGTAGACTCTCACACCCACTCTGCTTTTGATTATAAATAAAATCATTGTTTTTTCAGGTTAGTAGAAATCGTCCTGCAGAATCACTTTTTTCTAAAAAATAAATGATGAGAATGATAAATTGTATTTATATTTTGTCATTTTCTTAGCACTTCACTCCAATTAAACACCAGAAGCAGAATCTTACTTTAGGTAATTTAATTGTCCAAATTTAGGTTTGGACAATCTGTAACACGTAACTCTGCGACGTTTCCCATCCTTCAGGTAATCATGGTGCTGTCAGGATTTGCAGCAGATATGAGTGTGATTAACATGGACAACTGTACGCCCTTACACTACGCCGCCGCCGCAGGCAATGCCCTGTCCTGCAAGTTCCTTGCTCAGAGAGGTATGCCGTGACATTGCAAAGCGTCTTCAATTTCAACGCAATCACCCAAAGTATTGGGTCAAAGTATTAGATCTCTGGACGTGTCCTCTGGAGCTTTAAGGATTTTGGTTACAGAAATGAAGAGTAGCTCTTTTGTATGTTAGCATTGCAAGCTTATATCTCTGCTTTGATGCATGTGGAGGTAGGAAATTAAATCAAACAGAGCAATACGCAGTCCTGAATTAAATTAGGTAACGCGATCAAGTGGTTTTTTTTGTTGTTGTATTTTTTCATAGCAGTCTGCTCTGTGTTCAGGTTGTAACCCCAAAGTGAAGAACAAGGAAGGTTTGCTGGCACGTCAGATTGCCAAAGACTTCGGACTCAAGGCAGCGATCAAGGAGCTGAAGAAAGCAGAGAGGGCATTTGGGAAAAGCAAAAAATCCACTGGTGGCGGCATGATGTCAGATCTCTGGGCCCTGACCCTTCACGATTGGTCAAACGAGTACCAGGCTGAATTAGTGGAAGCCTTTAGGGACCAATTTGGCAATGCTGACTTAGACACCTTCATGTCCGTGTTAGAGAACCTGGGTGCTCCGGTTGAACCAGACCAACTCGAGATGGTCTTCTCAGCACACAACAAGAAGGGGGAGGGCCTGATCAACGTGAATGACTTTGTCAAAGGCACCAAGTACATCAAGAAAGTCTTCCGTCTCACTGGGTACACAACTCAGAAGAAAAAGAAAGAAAAGGGGGCTAAGAAGAAGAAGAAGAAAGGCCCGTTTGTCCTCCCCATACCCATTTGCACCCTCGTGCCGGAGCTCAAGCCCCGACGGCCCGACGGCGGCCCGCCTCACTTCATGATTGAGAAGTACCACAACTTGACAGACGTTCGCCGCTTTGACAACGAGCACCCGCCGCTTCATCCCATAGTCAACGACTCGTGGTGGTACATAGAGAAGCCAAACAAAGTTTACATCAACATCAACTACTGTGTGAGGAACGGAGATTTGGAGTCTCTGGACCTCGCCTTCAACGACGGAGTACCTGTGGACGCTCAGGATGAATTTTACAAGACCCCGCTGATGGAGGCATGCATCAGCGGCAACTACGAGTTGGTCCAGTACCTTCTAGAAAAGGGGTGAGTAGCCACACCTGACATCCAGATGTTTCTGGTCCAGGCTTGTCAGTGTTGAGACACACCCCTAAACACTTGGTCTGTTGCACAAAACCCCAAGAAAATATGTTGTATGTGCAAATACTGTTAAAAAGCTCTGTATTTGATTTTCACTGGTAATTCCTATTAATAGTTTCAAGAGCCTTAAAAAGGGTGAACTGTCACTATGATGGAAAAACATCTTACCATTTCAATTAAAATTTTTGGTGGCCATGGTAACTAGCCTTAGCATTCATGCCAGGCTATGTTATGATAAACCTGTTATGGAGTAGCAGAGAGCAAGAGGTAGGGTGTTAGTGGCACGTACACAAGAGTGATTGATAGCGATAAGACCCTCCCCTTGGCTCTGATTGGCTGTTTCTGACTGGGCGGTGTATTTCTGCAGTTGCTAGTGTGGGAAGGCAGAGGATCTTAGTTTTTTTCACATCTGTCTCGATACGGTACTGCGACAACATAATGATAATTTTAGTAAATATGAAAAAAACATATTTTAAAAAAATAAAAGTTACATACTGCAGCTGTAAAGCAACTCAGTGTTTCAGCATCTTTGCAGTTTTCTGGATGTTTAGTCCAGATTAGTGCTGCATAGAAGCTGAATGCTGCTTCTCCATGTTTCTGGTTCTGGTTCTGCTCTCCATCCCCAGAACCAGAACCAGAATAACTGAGAGGTCTGGAAGGTTTGATCCAACAGCAGATCTTAATGTATTTTGAAGTGAAGAACTAACAGAAAGTAACGTTCAATCTGCCGTGCAGCGTAGAATCAATAAGTAATGAGGTCTCACTGAACACGAACTCCCACCTCGCATCCGACAGGGCTGAAGTGAACATGTGTGACCAGTTCTTCTGGACGCCCCTCCACCACGCGGCCAACGGGGGGTACTTGGAAATTGTGGAGCTTTTGGTGAATGCCGGGGCCGACGTCAACGCAAAGGCCCTCAATGACGGCACGCCACTCATGAGAGCCATCGAGAGCTCCAGCTTCTCATGTGTGGAATTCCTCATCAACTCTGGGGCCAAAGTCTATTCAGAGACCAAGAAAGGTATGATGCAGTCTGAACATTAAAAATGTTTTTTATTTTTATTTTAAACTTCGGTTTGAATTTACGCTGTTGTACATTGATACAGATCTTATCACTGCATATCATCATTTTAAACACGAGTAAAAACAACAGTAGAAATAAGAAAGAAATCTATTTGTCATTAATTACTGTTCAGAAGCACAAAAGAAAAATGAAAACAACCGTAACTGCATTCATTCATCTCGGCCTTGTGTTTTTCCTCCAGGAGTAACCTGCCTTGATATGGCCAGACACTTTGGAGAAACCAGCATAGAGAGCCTGGTTCAGGAAAAGGTGAACGCGCTGCCAGACCCCAAAAAAGCAAAACCTAAACCTGGTAAAAAGAAGGTACCCACGTAGCCCTGCCGTTTGACCGCGGTTTACATTAAAAACGTTCTGCATGGAACTTTTGATGTGTCACACTGACGTTTTGTGTGTGTTCGTTGGTGAAAGGTTTCCTAGCAGAAAGCAGTTTCCTTACAACGGTTGAAACGATGCAGTCAAGTCAAACGTCACGCTGTGCACCGATCCAGTTTGGTTTATTTTTTTCATTTCCAATACCGGAAGCGAGGTTCAGTATCAGTGTATTTTGATCTGATACATCTCAGAGGATGTCAGAGGAAAACACGCACCAGATAACCATAAAACTGACCGAATTGAAATCCCGAAAATAAATTTGCTGAATGGAAACCCATCAATTTAAAAAAAAAAAAAAAACTTTTTCGATAACAGGTTTTTGTGTTAGGATGGGGGGGTTTGTGTTTCGCAAGACTGCAGTGGAAACACTTTTTTGCATCACACAAAAAAGCCGTCGATCACTCGTGATCGACGGCTGGACGGTAACTACTGGCTGAAATGTCAAAGTCGACGACAGGAAATGGTAGGAGGATGGTGGTTTGTTTTTGTTGTTTTTGGACGATGTGCAGCCGGCTCCACCACAGCGCTTACAGCGTCGCACTGTTCATGAAAAGTTGTGTGTAATTCCAACATGTTGAATCTATAACTCTTCTGTAAAATGGCTGACTACAATTTCCCCAAAACGCAGCATATGTAGCCGCTCCCAAGAATATGAGGCTTGTTGCTCCAACGCTGGAATAAGACGCCTAAGTCTCCTCTGATTGGTTGATAGATGATGTTTACATCCATCTCTATCATGATTTTTATTGACTGAACAAGCTTATTCACATGTGACTTTAATTTAATTTCTTATTTAACGGAAACACCGCAAGTGTTTTTTCGACATTAACAGAATTTAGACAAAAGTGTGCACACATTTGCTAATGGAAACTCATCTACAGATACAACAATCCCAAAATCGGTCAGTCTCTCATTTCACTACATTTGTTTCTCAGCAATGAAAAAAAGTTCTTGTTGTCATTGCTGAGAATAGACTAAAACTATTTACTAAAAATAGAAAAAATTCTGCCAAAAATGTACAGAAACTGTACACCTTTCTTTTATTAAGGCCAACATTGGAGACCTCTTCCCCCCCTTTTTTTTACTTTGTTACAGTTTTTTTGTTTTAAATTACTTTGTTGTAAAAAAAAAAAAAAAGTAACCTACAGATTATGGAAAGGGGATTTTTAATATATTTTTTTTATTCACGTGGCTAGCACTGGTAGCAGTTGGTGCAATAAAGGAGGAAAACTCTTCGGTGAAGTGTCAAAAGTTTAAAACTCCAGAAAAAGCCTTGGAAATGTAAAAATATTGGACAGAGAGGAATGTCCGTCGTCTGTTTCTCATCACGGTGTAATTGTAGCTCTCAGCCAGTTAGCATGATCTGCCGTCTGCTTATCAACACTTCAATCACGTAGATGTACAATCATGTAGAACTCGATCTTTAAAAATATACACCTGCATGCATTTCTTCCAGTAGGGATTTCATGTTATGTTTTTAGAGTCGTTTCTGCTAAGTGGACTTGCATGTTCAGCAAATGTTCCACACTATAAAGTTTCTAAGGTTACTCCTTCATGGTTGTTACTGATACTGACACCATTTTGAATTTTTTTGTAATTCAAAACAAACTGATTTATTCATGAAGGATTAGATTTTAACAGTCTCTAAGGAGAAAAAAGGACATATAACTGGATCTCAGTAAATTATACAGTAATTCAGCATAAATGAGAACACAGAGCCCCGGTGAACGGCGAGCGGCTCTTACAGGTGATTTACTCTGGAGCAGACGAGTAGCTGACACAGGGACCCAGTGAAGACGATGCAAATCACCTGAGGCCAGGCCTAGCTAATACACGGCTGCAGATAAACAGCCTTCAGCTCGGCGAAGAGGAAGAGGGTGAGAGGAGGTTGGGCATCTGTTAATTCTCTTCATCTTCAGGCAAGAAAAGTTGGGTTTAGTACTGCCCTCCAGGAATTATTTGTGTGAACAGTAATTGATATCACTAATCACAACCTCATTGCGTTCTCATGTATGTGGCTCTCAGAGGCGAAGATGCTAAAAACAAGAGGACTGTAGCTTCTCGGGTAATCCCGTAGCGTTTCTGTAACTCGAACTGACCTGAGTTTAAACTTGAAGCATGTGAGTCAGACTGACGCACAAAGCCTTGTTATGATTTCAGCAGGCTAAAAAGTGCTGACTCTGCACTTACTATGTTCAAGATCTTTGGTCTGAACGCTAACGTTACAGCAGTGGAAATGGAATATAATCAGTTCAAGGTTGAGCATGAATACACTGCTCTCCGTCTGAAAGCTCAGTTTCTCCAGGGGAAGTCATTGGTTTATATTATTACGGTATCATTTTAGTGTCAGATTTTACTCACTGGTCTGTTTTTAAAGCATGTTTTGCTGTTTCATTTTTATTTTCTGTTTTGACTTTTGATGTTTTTGGGTTTGTTTGTTTTTTTAAAAAACTTTTCAAAGGTTTTTGTCACTCATGATCCATTTTCTCAGACATCTATCAGCACCTTTGTGTTGTGTAAATATTACTAGTGGTGGGCAATATGGACTTAGTTTTATCAGGATGTTTTGTGATAATAATGTGATAACTGAAAAAGTGACGATAAGAAGTATTTATTACTTCTTTTTTAGGTAACCGCAATTGTGGAAATTGTGTCACAGCAATTATAGCCCCACAAACACAAATGCTGCTCTTGAAAAACATAACATTTGTAAGATGATTCTCTAGGAAATGAGAGATAAAGAAATCTGATTTATATTTCTAAAATTGACACAGTAACTGAATTTAGTCATATTTTCCAATTTATTGCACAATTTAGAAAAATTGTAAAGTTAACAATCCAGACTATAGACAGCTTTAGTGGGTATTAAACAATAATTGGAATTTATTGTGACAATGATAAACCAAAAATCTTATCATGATAAGTAATTTATCTCAATAAATGATCAGTGATACGATAAATGCCCACCTCTAAATATTACCAAAGATTTTTTCCCCCTTTTCTATTTTATCTAGTCAACTTTCTTAAATCACATTTTGTTCTGCAAAATGCAAACGTCTTGTGTGTCTGGTCTGGTCTGCAGTACCTTTGAAAAGTATTCACTCCTTTGGATGTTTTACCCTTGGATTGCTTTTCCAAATTAATCCTGGTCAACAACATTTGGCTTTTCTAATTATAATATTTTCTTTTTAAAGAAATATTTTTAATGTCAAAGTGAAAACTTTTGTACAAAAGATGACAACTAAATAAAAATATGTAACAAAATATAAGTGATTCCATAAATATCCACCCATTTAAAGTCACTGACCTAATTCAACAAATGTCCCTCCAATTGGTGCCAGTAGTCTAACAATTTTGCCAAAAAGCAAAATTTTGTTGATGAATAGTGATTTGTAAAAACAGTTTTAAAAAAGGGTAAAACATCAAATGGAGTAAATACTTTTTTCATAGCTACTATAAATATCTGTTTAATTTTTGATATTTCTGCTCCATTGACCGCGTTCCTCTTGCTGCTCTTTACGTCAGTTCTTGGTGATTGCCTTTAGGTGGCTATTGGAAGGGGTGCTGTGCATAGCAAGACGATGACTGGGACATCAGGGAGGACGCCCACACAGATGAACTCCAAAAGCATCATCCTCCATAACACCAGGATCACCACAGGAAAAACTAACACAGAGGATATTAGCTTTGTGCCAAAAACCGTACGTTTGGTTACGCTGACGCCTAACAACCTTCTATATAAAAGCTAAATATTGACTACATTTGACTTCTATTATTCCTTGTTAACTTCAACTCCGATTGTTTTTTGTTTGTTTGTTTGTTTGTTTCAGGTTTGGGGTGAACTGCCCACCACCAGCCAGCTGATGTCAAACATAGCGAGACGAAAGGGTCGCATAACCCTGGAGGTGGACTTCGACGACTTGTTGATCCCTTTCAGCCAGCGCTTCCAGAGAAGGATCCTGGAGATAACCAAGCCAAAGACCAAACTGGAGGAAAGCCAGAGACAGAGACAAGTGTCCTAATTATGTTACTCTGCTTATGTTGTCATCATCGTTTCCTTTTTATTATTATTTTTTTTGATGGCTAATATGAAAAACGACTTTCAGCACATGTCCATCCCTGGGGCTGTGTGATTTTGATCTACAACTGAATTAAATATAAAGCCATGCAGATAATGAGAATGTGAGTAATCAAGTGAAAATAAAAGATTCTTTCCTCTTATGGTTCTGTGTCTAAAACGAAGGAACTGTTTGTCTTTTTTCGCTAATTAATTTTGCTTGGTAAATGTCCACACCTCCGAGCTCCTGTCTTCACTACGTATAGTGGTGGACTTAATTAAAGTGGTACGATGACATACTAGGGTTCTTGTAAATAGGAAAAAAATGAGTAATTTTCCACCAAATGGCTCTAATTTTATATAAAAAAACAAGGATATTTCTGAGGTCTAAAAGTTGAACATTAGCTAGAAAAACTTCACAATTTCAGAAATTTTCTTGAAAAAACAAGAAAATTTAAGCGTTGCAAAAGTCAAACATTTTCTACCTTTGAAACTCGAAAATGTCCATGTTTTTCTAAAAAAAAAAAAATTTCAGAGATTATTCTCAGAACTTTTTTTTGTTTTGTTTTGTTTTTTGCCAGAAATAAACTCTATCAATGGCCTGCACACCCTGTCGTACAGTTAATTCCTGATGGAGTTTAAATCTTTATTATTATTATTTATTTATTTTTCAGAGATACAGATTCGTCTCATACATAAGCCGCCGCAGTTTATTATGCTTTTCTTCCTGAAGTTTCATATGTTAACCAGTAGGTGGTGCTGTTTGTCAAATCTAGCCGCATAAGCTTTTGGTTGTTTATTAAGGCTGGTAATTCAAAAAAAAAAAAGAAAGAAAAGAGGAAAGAACTTGGAGGGAGCTCTCTCTTGTAGCACAGAAAGAGATCAAAATGGCAGCCACGACTTTTAGCTGCTCTCACATGCATCACTCTGATGGCTGTAAGATAAAAAAATAAATAGAAATCTACAGCATAACCATGAGATCTACCTTTAAGATGTGAGAGAATGCAGCTCCACTCTTTTTGCGTCATGTTTGCCTCAGGTTACATTTCATTAAATAAATAATCTCAGAAAATATTCCCATTTCCTGCAACAGCACACTGATGCACACTCATCATCATCAGCAGCAACACCGTCGTCAAATAAAATTAGTTAGCAGTGTCTTTAAGGTCCACAGGGACACGGTTATATAACCAAAAAAAAAAAAACACTGGCAGAGGAGAGAGGCAGCTTTGAGGTCTGAAATGTATGCTGAGAATTGTTCAAATATACATAAAAAGGATGTGGAGAGAGAGAGAGAGAGAGAGAGAGATGTAACAGCGGAACCTGAAAGCCCAGCAGGGCCGTTCAGGATGCGAGCGAGACGGGGGTGGAGGGGTGATGGCGAGGGAGCAGGATGGAGGAATGAGAGGCGGGGAGTGAGAAGATGAGGGCTTTTCTGGTGCGATCAGTGGCCACACAGGTCAGAGGGAGTAAACAAGGCTGGCTGCCGGCTCCGGCTGTGACGCAGTGAGTCCGTCAGGGGCGTGGGCTCAGGCTTATATGGTCATGCAGTATCTGGGCACGGCGGTCTGCTGGGTGTGTTGCTGTTGGAGCTCGCGCCACAAAGAGATGTGGGTCAGTTCACAAAAACGAAAAATATGGATCATTGTCAACAAAAATAACCTCAAATAGTAAATCCTGAGTGGTATTTTTAAATGTTTGTGTATTTAGTGTGATTGTCGAGGCTCGTGGGACTGAATTTATGAATGAAATGGAATATGTATCGACTTATTGAGGATATATATATTTATTTTTATTACTGTTTTAGAGTTTTTTTGTTTTTCCCCTCCCCTGTCAGTCTGAGCTCCTATCGATGTGTGCTGCAGCCAGCAGCACTGCGGTCTCCGCGCTTTGGCCCCGCACCGCTTACTCAGCACTTCTCATCCTCCGCCTCCCAAAAGCAGCACCCCTACTCAGGCGCACCGTATCCCCGGCTGCCGCCCCGAACCTCCTCGGTAATATTCCCCGTTTACTGCCGGTTACGTAAAGCTCATTCAAACCCAGACATAGATGTGCTCACACATGCATGTAATCTAATAAACCAAAAAAAAACATCCTTAAGCCATAAAGTGTTCACACACAAATTCTGCATGTCACATGCAGATAGACAGAAAAATCCACAATAAACAAGCCGAGAAATGTATTTACACCTCGAGAGCTTTATTGGATTTTTTTTCCACAATACAACCAGAAATTTATGTGGGTTTTATTGGGACTGAGCTATCTGAGAGATCAATACGGAGGAGTGAATAATTGTGTAGTGAAAGAGAGAAGATGCTTTTAAATTTTTACTAAATATGCAGCACATTTGTATTCAGGCCTGCTTGGTCATGTTCTCTAGAAAAATGTAGTCAGACCGAACTGAATTATACCAGAGGATGTTTCTACTCTGTAGAGAGCGACTATTTTCTTCTTCGTTTATTTATTTATTTATTTATTTATTTATGCAAAATAGGATGTCTGGTGATGTTTTTTTAAGTCCTGTCATAATCCACAACTAGATTTAGGTATGGGCTTTGACTGAGCCATTATAAAACATTACTATTAGTGCACCAATTGCTGTTTTCCAGCCGATCACCGATGTTTAAAAAAGTTGTACACACAGATTCTGATTTTGGCCAATTGTTTTTTTGTGTGTGTGTTTGTTTTATTTTTGTTTGTTTTTTTATGTCTGAAAAGTCACCACTGGTGTCTATTGTTAAACTGCACATGTGCAGACATGATGTGGTGGGCAGAGTTTTCAGAAATGTTTGGGGGGTTTTCTAGAAAGTTTTCTAGTTTAATCTAAAAATATCTGATTTTTTTTCTGGCATTTTTTCAAGTTTTTGGAGTTCAGAAATGTCCTTGTTTTTTTCTGAGATTACTCTTAAAATTTCTGAGCATTCAGTGGAAAGCTACTCCTGTTTTTTCCTACCTACAATGGTAGTTCATCCTGACTTTTTAAAGCATAGTTTTTTAAATTGCAGGATTAAAGTAACTTAACCCTCAGTTGCACTACCGAAACTCTGTTCCTAACATAAAGCACCTTGCAGAGATGGAGTCGGTGCACGGAGCGGATGACTGTAAACACAGTGGCACTGTGCGGTAAAGCTGTGCAGAGCTTAACAATGGTGGCACTGTCCTGATGCTACTGTACCATGCATTATTGATGAAGCAGGCTGCTTTAACTCTGCTCCCAATGATGCATGTGACTGCAGGAAGATACATGCGCACCAATGTTCCCCATACTGCTCATACAACACACCTGAACGAGTGAAACTCTTCATAACCTGTGTGTGTGTGTGTGTGTGTGTGTGTGTGTGTGTGTGTGTGTGTGTGTGTGTGTGTGTGTGTGTGTGTGTGTGTGTGTGTGTGCGTTTGTTTGTAATACCTTGTGGGGACGATTTCCTGACATATACTATGTTGTGGGGACCAATTGCTCCTTGTGGGGACCGGAGCCTGGTACCCACAAGGGGAAACCCTGTTTTTGGGTCAGGGGTCAGAGTTAGTACTAAGGTATGAATTGAATTTTGGTTAGGG